CACACACACACACACACACACACACACACACACACACACACACACACACACACATGAACTGCACAAACCAACCAAGCAAATACACAAAGAAAACCAACCAGTATCTGTGAAATACAAACACATATGTACTTTGCGAACTGCTGTGGTGTTACAAACATAAATATACTAAGAGGTTCTTGGTTACATACTTTTTAAAAGGGTCTAGACATGGGATCCTTGGAGCATCACGCACACCTAAATATACACTAAAGAGGTCCTTGGTTATATGCTTAACAAAATGGACCAAACATGGGTTATAATCTATTCAAAAACTTTAAAAAATCATTGAGAAAAAATTGTGACTAACCCTCATTGTCAACTTCCAGAAAATAAAAAAATAAAAGAAAGGAGCATAGTGTAGAACATATTTGAATATTTGAACATTTTGAAATAAATTTTAAACACATGAATATACAGACATTTGAAATAAAGTTATCCTTACATGAAAAACTATTTTCTATTTGCACACACAGTGAAACTGTGAAAAGGAAGACAAAGTTTCACCTGGGGCAGTATTGGATCTATCTGTAGTTTCAGTCTCAGCAGAAACTCTCTTAAGCAAATATTACAGGTCATGCAAAACACACGCACACACGAACACACTGAACAATCACACCAACCAAATGCATGTAAAATGAGAGCTGACTCTTCCTGGTCATTGTCAGTGAAATGACAGATCACATTTTAACAGCAGGTTTCAGTGAAACACAACACCACGCAACCAGCCAAGAGCTAATAAGAGGACGACACACAGGTGTTTTCAAATTCACATAATGCCAAGAATTTAGTAGAAATATTTTCCCAGTTAAAAATCTTAAAAGAATAAAGTTATTTGTTTAAGCTCCCATGTTCAAGCACTGAAAAATCTAAGTCTTTTTTTTAAGCAAAACAAAAGGATGTGAATAAACATATCAGCTAAAAGCAAAGCAGAAGATTAATATTTCTACAGCATCTTCATCTCGGAGTCTTTCAGTCGGATTCACGCTGTGGTTTCCGGTAAAAAAAAGTAACATGCATACAGACAAAAACTCACACACAAAAATAATTTTCCTTTCATCCTTCAGCATTAATTCAGACGTAGTCTTTCTTGTCATATCCTCCACCTGCACTAATGCTGCGTGGGGCCGAGTACCCCATCCTGGGTGGCAGATATTTCTTTTCTTTTGGTGGGCAGCTAGTGCACAACATTGCCCCTCCGATTAGAAACAGTCCGGCTGCAGCCCAGCCTATGTAGAGTGACGCCCCTAGCTCCATCTTCTGAGACGTGAGCAGAATAGGGTTGTAGAAATTCATGATGATAACATTGGCAGTCCAAGAAACAGGGATGAGAACCAAGAGGCCACTGAGGATGAAGAAGACACCAGCGATGATCATCACTTTGGCTTTGCTTCCTTCCTCTTCAATGCAGTTGGTGCACTTGGCGCCGACTATGGAGATCATGACGCCCAGCACTCCGAGTATAATGGCAACAACCATCATTGCTCTGGATGCCTGCAGTTCCTGAGACAAGGCCAGCAGCGAGTCGTAGACCTTGCACTGCATCTGACCTGTGCTCTGGACAACACAGCTCATCCACAAACCCTCCTGGATGATCTGAGCAGTGACGATGTTAGCACCGATGAAGGCAGTCACCCTCCACATTGGTAGGGCACATGATAATATGGCTATAAGAAAACCAATGACTCCAAAGGCAATGCCCACGATCTCCAAACCCATCGACATGTTCGCTCTCGTGTGTGGTGACAGAACAAAATCCAAAAAGCGAGTCCACAGTGTCCAACAAACTGAGTCCCTCAGGTGAGTCTTTGGTGAAAAGGATTCTGCTTTACTGTCAGGTGCTTGTTGAAGTGTGAGCAGCTGTACGAGGGTGTGGTGTAGCTTTAGGATGCTGCTACAGAAACAAGATATCTTTATACCTCGAGAGAACAAGGAGGAGTCCTCTGGTGTTGATGTCAGCGAGAGGCTGTCTTCACATACACACAGAACAAATACACACATGTGAACATACAGTGGAGGAGGGGAGCTTGAGGCAGAGCAAGAGAGCAGTGATGTGATGGAGGCAAGGTGTGGCTGTGGTTTGTGGGGGATGGGCAAAGGTAGTTCTCTCTTAAATTCCAAGAACTATGTAAAACATGTCACCTGTTTTCTCCCAGGAACCGATTTCACCATCACGTGGGTGGACTCACACATCCCTTCATACACGTCCCTACCAAGCACTTATCTGCAAAATCTTATCCACAAACACATCGCACTTCATACATCAAGTTACTGTTGCAAAATGCTCAGTCTTTTGTACAAACCACTGTCATTGTTGCACATTTCTATAGCACTATCTTGTGTCTGCATCGTTCTGTTCTGTCTGATGTCACACTGCCTTTGTTTTCTTTTTTTTTGTTTTGTTGCAATTTTGGCACACTTGCACTTAATCTACTCCTGTGTTGATTGTCTTTTATATGTTATATGTAGCACCATGGTCGTGTAGGAACGTTGTCTCGTTTCACTGTGTATTGTACGGCTGCACATGGTTGGAATGACAATAAAGCCTCTTGACTTGACTTGATGTGTGTGATTAAACTGTGACTGTACAAAGTAATAATGAAGAAGACACCAAAACGAGGCACTTGACCTTCTAATTCACTGCATATGAATGAATGAAAAAAAAAAGAGCATAAAAAAGTTACTGGCTAACTGTAAATGCTACTTTGCATTAAGTGATTAACATTACGGGGCAAAAAAAAAATCCTTTGACCTCAGGCTACTTCAAAAGCTTTGTTGTGAATCAGAAACTTAACCATGGTGAAAAATAACCCTCAGGTAATTATTTTGTTACTCCCTGGTTTCATTCATTCAGACTTTTAACGACAGTCAGGATTTAGTGTCTGGAAAACAATCCCAGAGCTCTTCTGAGAACCGGAATAACTGCATCAAGAACAAATATGAAGAGAGAGAAAACATAACAGTGCTGTTGTCTGACACCCTAAGCATACAGAGAGAGCGTGACCTTCTCAGTATCGGTTAGACTCTGACCAATCATTTTCCTGAAACACACACATGTCCACTCAAGAAAAAGCGAGCTACAAAAGCTTCCTATCACTTTGTAATTCAGCAAACAATTTATAGAATGAGTTCTGAAAAAGTATTATTTAAAAACAAAAAACGATAATGAAATGAACCCCCCTATGATTGAACTTTTAGCTGACCCCAAACTTTTGAGTGGAACTATGTGCTGTAATGTGATCTATATGGGTTTTAATGCATGTTAGGAAAGTAGACTCATTATATATTTTTGAAGAATTTTAAAATTTTTGGTAATGATTTTCTAATAACCTGTAAAAAGAGAGATTTTATTACATATGTAAAACACAGTTCACATAATAATTTCTGCTGGTTATGGAAACTAAAACTTTTCTTTCAAATGCACAGCTCACGATAACAAGCTTAGTGACTTTAACGTTTCTTCTGTACACACAACTGCATGTCAACATTAAGCTGTCATAAACCAAAATAGGGCTCAAACATATAAAAACAAGACTGGAAAAAATAAGGGAGCCTGTTTGCAGTTTCATCATGAACATCGGGATCAGATGTTTATGTATTACATCATCTTTTCATCAGTGACAACTGCTGTTATAACAGCTAACACCTGTGTTACCAAAAACAAACGCATCAGCATAAGCAGCAGCTGTTTCCCCCCCAGTAATTTAAGATAAAGATCTCCACCAAACAAATAGGAGAATACATGCTGATGGTGTTTCTATTACTGCATTACACCTTAGATGAACCACATTTACTCTCCTCACAAGTTTGCAGATTCAGATTAACGTCTGTATTTTCTTTAATACTTATTAATGGGAATAGATTTCTTCATCTATGGCCTTTATGTCTCATTACCAAGGAGTTTCAGTAGTTCCAATAAAAGCCTTTCCTGGTTGTTGAAAGTTTACTCAGTGTACTGATGAGCGGAGTCAGTCATGTGCTGTAATGGCGCAGCACAGGGTGGCTGCTCACATGCTAAAGGTCAGGATAATTTGACTATTCAAACCAGGAAAAAGTTGGTATCTGTGAAGGCACTGAATCAGACAATAAAGAGAAGGGACTTTTTCCCAAATGACATCAGATTTCATGCGTGAGTTTCAGAAGAGACTCTGATGAATGTGTAATGAACTTGGTACATTTATTTATGTGACCTGTTGTGCTTTACTTAAAAAAATGTTGTTAAAATGTTGTCCAGTGGATTGCGTATTACTCTTAGTTTCTTCGTCTTTCTACAGAATTTAGAAACCTGTTTACATGCACTCTTGTAGAACATTAAACAGTCAATCAATGTTAAACCAGTAGTTACTTGTAATTACTTTATTAACCTAAAGTATTTTAATCAAGTCAGATTCCAAAATAAAATATTTGTATTTATGCAGTCAAATGCATTATAAAAGTTGTATCAAAAATCAGATAATATTAAGATTTTTTTGTCAAACACACAAAGGTGAATACATAGAAATGAAGGACATTAAGTAAAGTACAATACATGAAAGTTTGTCAGATTTAAAAACGGTAGGAATACAGAAATATCAAATGATAGAATACGGAAGAATGAACAAATAAAATTACTTACGTGTCATTCTAATAAATCATACATTTGCCACCCTTTTGACCTTCGTTTGAAGCCGAGGGTGAGCTCCACTTTGCTCAGCTGCATGCTGTTTCACATCTATAATTTGAATCTATGATAGTTTGTATATACAAAGTCATCAGTACATTGCTCATTAGAATAACGACCGTCCACAACAGACACTAATGCTATGAATGTTATATTATGAATAAATATATATAATATTTTTTTCTCTGCAAATGTTTCTTCACTGTGCTGTGACAAAGAATCACATCGTTTGCCATAACTGATCATGATCACAATTTCAATCTGCTCAGTTAGACTAAATATAGAGAATATGTAAACATTGTCCTAAAGAAACTGCAAATTCAGTGTCAAGACTATATAGACATTCTTGTCATCCTAAATATTGATAGAATTCCGTACACCATAACATTTGTATCTGTTTAACTACATTTTTATAAAAATAGCATGCAATCCCCTCCAATCCTCTTTAGTTTTTGTCCTTTTCCACTCACACATAGTCCTTTCTAGTATAGGAGCTTTGAGCTGCCGACATCGGAGCGGCTGAGTATGCTGCACGACTCTGGGGCTGTATGTTATACTTCAGTGGTTTGTCTTCCTTTGGAGGGCAACTGCAGCAGAGGATAGCTCCCCCAGTCACCAGCAGGGCTGAGGCAGCCCATCCTACATACAGTGATGCCCCGATCTCCATCTTCTGCCCAGCAGGGATGATTGGACTGTAGAACTCGACAACAATGGTGTTTGCTGACCAGGAAACAGGCACTAGTTGAGCCAGACCTGCTATGATGAACGCCACTCCAGAAGAGATCATCACCTTGGCTTTAACCCCATCCTCCTCGATGCAGTTGGTGCACTTGGCTCCCACCATGGCAATGAGGAGAGCAATCAACCCCACTAGGATGGCAACAACTGTGAGTGCCCTGGCAGCCTGGAGGTCCTGAGGTAAAGCCAGCATCGAGTCGTAGATTTTACATTGCATCTGGCCCGTGCTCTGGAAGACACAACTCATCCACAGACCCTCCCAGTACACCTGAGCAGTGACGATGTTGGCGCCAATAAAGGCCGAGACCCTCCACATTGGAAGGGCACAGCTGGTCACAGTGAGAGCCCACCCCAACACTGCCAGGGTGATGCCGGCCAGCTCAAGTCCAAAAGATGCCATGGTGCAACCACGCAGTCCTTTTTTATATTTTCTCTCCCTGTGTTTCAAGACAAGATAAAGTTTTTTCTCCCTTCTTATTTTCTCAAGTTCCTTTTCCTTGTGTTTGCTTCAGTGACTATCTCAAGCCTTTGTTATCTGGTCCTTTAATTTCCTCTTTTCTGCACCTCTCTCCAAAAGGTACGCCCTTTTCTGAAGCTGTAGCCACTGTAGTTCCTGCTGAATCCACTCAGTGTACTTCCTCCAGGGACTTTCTGCACCATGTATTTGTCCGTTCTTGAGCAGCCGTTGACCCTTATCTGTGTACCTTTTTATTATAAACTGGTGTGACCCACCTAGGGGATGACATCACTCGCCAAACTAAGCCAATCAGGTGAGTCCTGTGCATCGGCCTCATTTATCGCCTGGGTGTGTTGGCACTCATTTGTGTGCTTTTTCAAATGAACAGTGTTTTCATGGTTTAACCTTTTGCCCCTGGTAGCTCTAGGTGTGCCTGTTTTATTGCTGTTAATAGATAATGAGTGGCCAGGACAGACCTTGTTATGCAGTTGATAAGTGACCGCACAGGACCGCATGCTTCCTAAAAGATTTGTATGTAAGCGTTAGCATACATAAAGCGTGTGTGTACACAGAGTGGGAGAGACAGAGGAATAAAAAGAATCTGCACAGATTATTATATTTGACTTGATGTTTTTTTTTTCCATTTCCAGTTTTCTGTGTCACATTTTTATAGCCGCAGCTGACACACATTATTACAGTTTTAACACCAGTGACGCGTACCACAGTAGTTCCCGCAGGGTTAGAAATTCATAACTAGTTTCGCAGTAAAACTGAGTTAATGTTAAACTAGAAGCAGAAAGAATGCACTATATAGCTGTGTTACTATGCCTTGTGTGAACCTAATAGGTTGCTGTAAATTCTACTACTGAATGCTAGTCAGTTTCTACCAACAAGTTAATACTAGTACTATACATAGAAAAAAATTGTCCGGCTGTAATTACATTCACAGTAATTAAGTTACAGAAACATTTTTTTAAAGGACACGATTTATACAGTGCCAAATCACAACAGTTGTCTCAAGGCACTTTATTGTGTATGGGAGCCAATGAAGGGAAGCCAATATAGGAGAAATATGCTCTCTCTTCTAGTCCCTGTCAGTACTCTTGCTGCAGCATTTTGGATTAACTGAAGGCTTACAGTAGTTATTGTAAATTTAATTAATGGTTATTTACTGTAATCTAATTTGCAGTAATTTTTTTTACTGCATTTGTATGTACAGTATTTGCAGCATGTATTCATTTATAGTATTTTATTTTTCCATTTTATTTTACTGTATTTTAAATTATTGCACTGTTAATGTGGTTATTTTGTAATGTTGCAGGATTAACATAGTTAATCAGAAAATTAGTCGTGAATGCCTAAAATGAATTTTAATTGTTGAAAGCACAAATTACAAGTGCGTATATGCTTTAACCATTATGGTTAAAATTAAAAGGCAACAAAAATGCCAAACCAGAAGCAGCAAAAACGCAAAGTGTTAAATTCATGAGGTGAACTTGAATTGATGTTGTATTTGAAGAGAGGAAAAAAGCAGTGGTACAAAATAAGCTAAAAATCCACCTGGCCCATCTGACATGCAACTGGTATGTTTGATGCTGCAGTGTTTGGTCTGATTTTAATCGGGTGGTTGCTAGATAACATGACGTGTAATCCAAGTTTTGTGGCTATAGGTTTGAATATTGTGCGTAAGGTGTGGTTGGGGCTGGAGATATATCTGTGTGCCAGCTTTGCTTGCTGACCTGATTTTGTAAAAAGAGGTCATGAGCAAACATAGGCTTATATCTATAGCTTATCTATCTACAGCTATCTCATCATTAACTAAGCTAAAGTGAAAAATTGATGATGTATAAAAAAAGTTTGCTGTAGTTTTACAAATCATTCTGAGGGGAACATGAGTATCTGGACCACATTCATCATAATCCATCCAATAACTAGCAAATCAAAGTCACCATACAGCAGATAAAGTTCTAACATAAACCGTCTTTACTGTATTTCAGGTAGAGTTAATTTACTGAGTCCTAAGTAAACTCGTTATTCACTGGGCTTGGACACACAAGTCATCTTCAGATAGAAGTGATTTGTTAAAGCAGATAGACACTGCAGCACAGAAAAATCTTTAACTTACATCAGCTCTGATCAGCGAGCTAATAATTAGCAGAATTATGAGAAACTCTTTTTCTTAATGTGTTACCTTCAACAAGTTTTTCTCAGTAACATCACACGTAACACAAGTAACAGTGGCTTGATGCAGAAAAATAATTTCAGTTATACAGTTCACATGTAAGCACAGTGTCTCTCTTTTTATTCGGGTTAGCATACTACACTGTGCTGTGCTTTTAAGCGGACTGAGGCAGACAGACTGAGGTAAATTACTTCTGAGTCGTGCTTAACGTGAAATAAGGATTTCTCTAATCTTTGATGACCCAGAAAAACTACATAATGAGGAAGAAGACTTCTTTACAACAAGACCTAATGGACTCTTAATAAAAGTCACTGACCCGTGTCTCGATACCTTTGTCAAACTCATTGCTGATATCCCCATTGCAACTATAATAATCTGCGGCGGAGTGGCACAATCAAAGTCCGGGCTTAAATCAGATTGAGATGCTTTGACATGACCTTTAACGCCATTCATGCTTGAAAACCCTTCACTGCGGCTAAATTAAAACAATTACGCACAGAAGAGTGAGAAAAAATTCCTGCATGGCGATGCAAAAAATTCCCTTTCAGTCAGCACAGATGCTCAATTGTAGTTCTTACTCCCAAGGGTGGCACAACTAATTATTTATTTTAGAAGGAAAATTCTGTTTTCACACAGGGCAAGGAAGGTTTAGCTAGCTTTCACCCCTTAATAAATGACATCACCATTTAAAAACTGTATTTTGTATGTACACAGGCTATCTTTGCCTAACATTAAACTGTGTTTGACGATTCGAAACATTTAAGTGTGACAAAAATGTACTTGTTTCAAAACATGAAAATAAGGACTTATACAAAAGTACAGAGCAGTAAAGTATTGTGAAGAGACCTACTGTGTTCTTAGTATCAGTCACTGAGTCTGTATTTCCATGAAAGTGTCTCAATACTTTTGTCTACCTGATCACACTTTGTCTTGCATACGTGTACACTTTATCAAACTGTAATATTTGTCAAACACTCCCGGTCAAAAAAAAGGTGACCCAGAAACCACGATAAGATAAAGCCTAATAAAAGACAATTATTAAGATAATGTTGTATTTGGGAAGGAAACAATACAGTGAACCAACAACTCAAATCTGATTGTCAATTGTATGTCTTTATTTGCGTGTTTAAACAAGAAATATATGATAGTGCAGTAATTATTCTTGCTTCCTTCCTTTCTTTGCTTTTGCTCCAAATCTATCCTTTGTGTACACAAGCCACTAGGCAAATTTTTGGCATCACTGTAGCTGCTAATAATGCACGATAGTAGTCGGACCTGACATTAAGCAAACTTGCCTGAACAATCCACCAAACTAGAGACCATCTGCAGCTTCTGGAGCATCAGCTGGCTTTAAAATTAATTTGTGCAAGTTAATGAATGCATCTTACTCACTCTTGCTGCTTTCTCACTGATACCATTATAATCAATATACTCAAACATTTGTGGTGGCTACTGCTATAGTCTCTACAACTTGCACTTGCCGTGGCAATTTTGGACAGATCCCAGCTGAAGGATAAAAGAGAAATTGATATATTTCAATAATATATTTCATGTTATCATTTTTATACTTAGCTTCATTATCTGGTAATGTTTTAGCATTAGCTAAAATACACAACCATCAACAGTGAAGAGCCAAAAGAAGCAAATGATTAGGAACACTTGACAATGATTGCTGGCATTAGATAAAGGAAGGAGTGAAAAAAAAGGTTCATTATTGATCATAGGACCAGTATCTCATTTGCTTTATGGTGAGACCTTGTTTTATTTTGAGTATCATATCTGACCTTGAACTGTAAGATAATATCAGCTTTATTATTAGTACGATATTATTAGTAACTTGCAAGAAACTGAGTAAAACACTCAGTTGTCAAGAAACTTAAAGAATTCCAGGCGCTTTTCTTTCCAAGTTTCTTAGACAGCACTGTAAGCAAATTCATCCAAGATTTTGGGGTGATCTGGTGACTTTGCCATAATTATGTTGTTTCATCAGTCAGTGAAAATGCTAGCTCAGTAAACCTTGATTGATCACTAGAGATGTGTTAGTTGGAAAGATACAAAATTTCTACCCCACTAAATGTGATCCATGATAGTCACTTAAGTGATAAGTCAGGTGGTATTGATTTCAGGCAACAGTAATGCAATGGTATAAAGCAAAACTGTGTAAGTAGGAATGTTCTTCCTCAGGGGTGGTTAGCCATTTAGGTATAAGCAGCTTATGTCATGGTCCTGCAGCCCTGGGCAGTATGTGACTTACTCTGAATATTCTTGCATCACAAGTTTTCTTTGGGTTTGGCAGACACAAAGTAAGTTGCATAAAAGGAGAGTTGATGTTGTCATGGTCCTGGGTCGGTGATCCAATGTTTTGTGTTTTATTAATTAATGCTTTCATTATTATTTATAATTTCTAGTCTCTTGGTTTCTGTGCATTCCCTGTGGTTCCACGTTTAGTTACTCTTGTCTCCATGTCTCAGAGTCTAGTCTCGTCTCTCTTTTCATGCCCCCAGTCTCGGTGTAATGTCTGCCTCGACAGACATTACGGCATACTTCTAATTTAATCACACATTCAAACCATTTGGTGAATAATGATCAGTCAGTGACCATCTGGTAACCCCTTGTGGCTACTAAAATAATAATAATAATACTAGTAAAGTATATATTTTTTGGTGTAGAAGGAGGGGTACATACATTTTTTCTTTGACATTTAGCTTCATTTACTCTAATTCATTGAGAACTATCTTGCGAGTGCACTAAGCAGTATCGCTAAAGCTGGTTACTGCACTTTAGAATTAGTTATAAAAATGAATTTGTTTTTTGAACATAGAAGCATCTAAATGTCTTCCTGGAGGTTGGTAAAGATATTAGTTAATATATGAAGCTTTAAATACACAAGGAGTAGTTTTAGATAATAAATCCATGGTTCTGCCTTACGAAGGATTACACGACCTATCGAGGCCTCAAATACCTTGTTCCTAGTAAGTAAAAAAAATGAAACATCCACAGCCAGAGGCAGCTGTAACTCAGATACAAGGATGACCATGGCCTTAAAAAAAAAAAAAAAAAAAAAAAAAAAACACATATAAAACCAAACAGCAGATTTATCACCTTAAAATTATAAATCTAATTTTGGTGTGACAGTAATGTTTTTACATCCTTCTCTGCTAACTTGTTTCTGTTGAATGAATTGTAAATACTAGTAATACCCCAGCTTGTGCCTTTGTGGGAAATAGAACGATCGTATCAATACTGTACTTGCGTTGTGTTACTAATTAAACTCAGTACACTACAACTTCAAGTGCTATGTACTCAACAGGATAAGAGATGCAAAACAGAAACTAGAAGCATGAATGCTGACTCAAGTGTTTTGATCGGCCAGTTATGCAACCAAGTTCCTGGAACTGCCTGTTGAGAATTATTCACCAAGAAGCAACAGGAAGACTATGTCTACTGGAAAGTTTAGATATTATTTTGCCATAAAATGGTCTCAGAGAGCTGGATCTCAATTGATAATAATTTGAATATGTTATTGAGAATGGTCTATGATTATCAATAGTGATATTTTTTTTAATATCATTTTCACTGAAGCAGATTTACATTGTGTGGATAATTTCAATGGATTGTTTTGTCAGTTGATGAATTAGTTTCAGTTTACAGAGGGATTACCCATTTTGTGTTTTCCACCTCTGTGTGTGTGTTTGAGATCCTTCATCATATCTAAAGGGGGTGTAAACAGGGATTTCAAGCGTAAACAGCAACCGTATCATTTGGTTAACTACCAGAGGAAATCCAGATAGTATATCTGTATGAGTATCAACCCACTGCCAACACAAGGAGCATAGTAACCCGAATACAGAAAACATGAGAGGCACTTTTTCCTCTTTCACCTACAGTAACACTTAAACTGTTAGTCAGTTTTCAAATAATAGATGAAAACTTTATATTTAACATATTTAACTGAGTATTTATCTCTTTCCAGATTACAGATTGAACTGTCTGCAGCGCTACTTCATATAAAACATTAAAAAGCTTTTTTCATATTAAGATATTCATCACAAGCTCTCACTGAGATACAGTACTCTGCAAAAGTCTAATGCCATTTCTTCATCCACTCTTTTTGCTTCCAGATTTCTTTGAATGCTTTAAAATGGTTTTGATCAAAAGTTCTCTGGACTTTCCCGAGGTCTTTCTCAAGTTTTTCTTTGGACAGTGTTTGTTTTTTCACTCATTTTCAACGACAAAAACATTTCAGTAATGTTCTTTTGTTTTTTTTTTGTAAAGCCACTTTATATCTACAAAGGAATCATTCAAGGATAAAAACAGACCCCTAATAAGAACCAAATTTACATCTAAAAGGTTGACATCCCCAAAGACCTATTAACTGGAAATTTGGCTTATGTTAGCATGAGGAAATGAGAAAATTGGACAAGTGGTTAACAAAAAAAAGAAGTTACAGTATGTGAAAGTCATTTCTTCAATCATGAAAGCAGAAAAATGTCAGATTGTGATCCATCACGCAGTACTACTTGGAAAGCGTCTGATTGATAGCAGCTTCATTTTTAAGCACAACAGCGATTCCAAACACACTATTAGCCATTTTGGCCTCTCCAGAGCTTGAATGGGAAGAAAAGTTTGCCAACATTGAGAGCTTTGAATGTCCTTCATGAAACCTGGGAAATTATTCTTGAAGACTAAAGAAATTAAAAGGAACTTTTCCCAAGAGAGTTCAGGCTGTGCTGAAGAATGAAGGTGGACATACTAAATATTGACTTTTAAGCTAGTTAGAACTGTACAAACACGGTTTTTGTTTCATTTACTTTATTTTTCCTGTTTGTATGTTTAGGCGATTTAAAAAAAAATCTTTTTTCAAATATACTGATTTTTCAAGTTTCCAGCAAACTGCCAATCTTATTTCATTTCAAGCAGTTCAGTGCACAGAGAGATGGTGATTTCCACAGGCAGCCTTTGTTGTCTGTTCTTCTGTTCTAGAAGCAGAACGTTGGCTACAAAGCCATAAATGCTTTAAAGGAGGGTGGAGCCTTGCATTTAATGGGTGCTTAGAGAGTTATGGTCACATAAGAAATGGAAATAAAGGATGTTTGAGCACAGGTGATAGCACACTTTCACAATCTTCCAGACATATATCTCTTAGTACATGTACTGCATCGCAAAAAAGGTTAAAGTTGATATTATTTTCTGTAAATGCAAAGATTAAAATTAATAGGCTGCTTCTACTAACCGCAACCTCAGATTCTGGTTACGCAGGAAAAGAGTTTACATCACCAACTGCATACATGCGTGTGCACATGCCATACATGCACAAGCACAAAAATAGACACTGCTGTCACCTATTGGGCACAACGAGGAATAACAGATAAAAGGGGAAACATAGCAGACAAAACAGAGTTTATCATTCTCCTTTGATTTCAATGCTTTGATTTGCTGCAATAGCTGCAAAATCCAGACATGCCAAATATGTTGTACATCACCTCACTGACTACTCTTTGATGCCTTCATCCACTCACCCTAAATGAGCTTCATACACAACAAAAGCTCTTTTCTTGTAACCTTCAGCAAACAAAAAGCTCTTGTATGTTCACATTTACAATTGGCCTTCAGTCTGAGCTTCAGAACACTCACAGAGCTTCTCTCACCTCCAACCTCAGCCTGCAGTTTATACGCCTTCTTAATATTTTTCCCACTTCATAAATCACATATTTATTTGAAAAATAAAGTTTGGACACTGTGTAAAATGTAAATAACAACAGACTGAAATGATTTGTAAATCTCATAAACCCCCAATAGAACATAAAAAACATATCAGTTGTTTAAGGAAATGCAATATTTTAGGAAATATATTTGCTGATTTTGAAGCAACATATCTCAGTTTGTAGCATTGCCTCTTCTTTTAACAGCAGTGTGTAAACATCTGGAAATAAGGTAAGCACCTGCTGAACTTTTTGGGAGAGCACAGTGTTCCCATCTCTGTCTGATGTAGGACTAACAGTTCATTCATTCTGGGTCTTCTTTTCATTTCGTAATGCTCCACATATTTTTAACTGGTAAAAAGTCTGGACTGCAGGCAGGTCAGTTCAAAACTCTTCTACTATGAAGCCATTTTGCTGTAATAGATGCAATATGTGTTTTAGAATTGTCTTTGTTAAATATGCAAGGCCTTTTCTGAAAAAGATGCCACCTGAAAGCTACTATATCCAAAGGCACTGCCATACCTTCAGAGATGCTGGCTTTTACACTGAGAGCTGTTGACAAGCTGGATGACCCTCTTTTCCTTTTGACATGTTCCCCATGTTCTATAGAGAATAAAACAGGAGTTTGGGAGATTTGCAAATCACATTATCTGTTTTATTGACATTTTAGACAGTGTCCAAACATGTTCAGAAATAAGATTGTATATTATTTTTTCTTTCTCCAGGAACAGTTTGAGAAAACAGAAGTGACAGGACAACAGGTGTGTCTTGTGAAGTGTTTATGGAAGCATAGGTTGATTAGATATCACACATCACACACAAGAATGTTATAGGATAATATGAGTTCGTCAGTATTGAGCTACTGGGAGAGGCAACAATCTCACAATCTGTAAAGCAAACAGAGTGGAAGAGTGACACCCGGAGCTGGTTCATCTCCTGTTTTCCTTCATGCTGACTGTAAGTGACACCCTACACTACGTGAACTTCTTTGAAAAAACCCCACACACCAGTAATTCATGAATTTGGTGAAGAGTAAGTGCTTGAAAGATTTACACTACTACGCTTACATGTTATTTCTGCTAATTTTTCATTCGAGGTCAAACACAAATGTAGAGCAAACAGTTAGGTGTACTTTGTTCCTTTCATTTCAATTTATGATTTAATTATTTTACTGTTCTTAATTTACTTAAATCTGAACCTTTGTATTTTACACTGGATGCAGTTATCTAATAAAATAGGTCAGGGATTCCCGAAGCGTGGGCTAGGGCCCCCTGGTGGGCTGCGAAGGTACTGCAGGTGGGCCATAGTAGTAAGAGAAATTCTGTTTAAATTTACTCTCAAGTATGTACAAGTAGATATTTATATAAATATATTATTTTATATAAAAAGCAAATTAAAACTGGTAATAGGAGGTGGGCAGTTTGTGATATTACTTGTTACTCCGACTTGCATATGACTGGATAGTATTTTATAAAAAACTGTTTGTGTTATTTATGATTTCTTAAAAAACTAATTATAAGGAAATATATCACTCTCTCGTTGGGACTTTGGGAAAAGCAGATGAAGATAATTTCCTGTCAAAGATTATTAATACTCATATCAGATTAAAACTGATCATTATTGTTTTTAGGGACATAGTCAAAGCCTAATCAAGCACATGATTGTACTCTTAACTTCACTTTTAATATTAAAATCAATTAAAGTATTCGAATTAACTTTAAGTGAAAGAATAATATTCCCCTCAGTCCTGAGCTGTGTCCATCCCCCTCAACCTCTTGACATGCTGTAAAGTGAAAGATACAGTTCTTCCAGAGAGTCTTTTGCAAGGCCATTTATGTGCATTTACTTGAGAGAGAACTCCAGCGGGATGCCATCCATTATCAGCGCAGGTGTAACACAACAAAAACACTGAGCACATGACCATTTTTGGTTAGTCGGATGTTTTGGTCAGAGGTGTTGTCATTTAGGACTGACTGAGTCACCAGACATTCAGGACATCACTCCACCCACCTGCTCACCGGCTCACCTGTTCAGGTGAAACTTTATATTTAGGGAGTGGACCTGAAGAGCAGGTGCTGATGACGGTTCGCTGTTTCTCCATTGCCCCTCCTCCATCAGGCATTTGTACCTGCTCCACTCCTCACCCATTCAGCAGACTTGTCTGACCGGCAGAAAACTCGACTTCATCGCAAGGAAGAAACAAATATTCAACAGCCTGTATCACTCCACAGTGAGAACGTCGATACGCACTCAGAGCTTTATCAGCAACCTCTGAAAAGAGAAAGGACTTTAATTTGAAGCAGCTTGAAGAACAAATCTGACCAAAATGGTGTCTGCTGGCTTCCAAATGCTGGGTGCAGCCTTGGGGATCATTGGCTGGATTGGAGTCATCGTTGTGTGCGCTGTTCCCATGTGGAGGGTCACTGCTTTTATTGGCAGCAACATTGTCACCTCACAGGTCATCTGGGAAGGTATCTGGATGAGCTGTGTGGTCCAGAGCACAGGCCAGATGCAATGCAAGGTCTACGACTCCATGCTCGCCCTCACCGGAGACCTCCAGGGTGCTCGGGCCCTGACTATCATTTCCATTGTGGTAGGCGTCATGGCTATTCTGCTTGCTGTAGCTGGAGGAAGATGCACCAACTGTGTGGAGGATCAACAGCAAAAAGATAAAGT